TCAAAGTAACCAGACTTGTGTCATCAGTAACCAGACTTGTGTCATCAGTAACCAGACTTGTGTCATCAGTAACCAGACTTGTGTCATCAGTAACCAGACTTGTGTCATCAGTAACCAGACTTGTGTCAAAAGTAACCAGACTTGTGTCAAAAGTAACCAGACTTGTGTCATCAGTAACCAGACTTGTGTCAAAAGTAACCATACTTGTGTCATCAGTAACCAGACTTGTGTCATCAGTAACCAGACTTGTGTCAAAAGTAACCAGACTTGTGTCATCAGTAACCAGACTCAGTAACCAGACTTGTGTCATCAGTAACCAGACTTGTGTCATCAGTAACCAGACTTGTGTCAAAAGTAACCAGACTTGTGTCATCAGTAACCAGACTTGTGTCATCAGTAACCAGACTTGTGTCATCAGTAACCAGACTTGTGTCATCAGTAACCAGACATGTGTCATCAGTAACCAGACTTGTGTCAAAAGTAACCAGACTTGTGTCCAGACTTGTGTCAAGAGCAGATGACACAGTCCTCCTTTTGAACAGTGTAAAGGGAATAGAACATCTCCTTATGTCTGTCCAAAAATGTATGCAACATCAAAACCTGTTCTTGAATTTAAACAAAATAAAAATAAAAACCACAGACAAAACTGGCTTTCACCCCCCCCCCCCCCCCCCCCCCCCCCCCCCCCCCCCAAAAAAAAAAACAGTAAATGTTGAATCAATTGAAAATTTCACAAACTTTGAATATCTAGGCTCTATAATAAATAGCAATGGAGACTGTCTAACTGAAATCAAAAGAAGGATGGCCATACAAATACAAAGATTAATTAAATAGCATTAAAAGTTAAAAGTATATGGTTTAACATCAGCAAGAAAATAACGGATTTGAGTCATAGACTATCTCCCAGTCCTTAAGAAAAAAAAATAGGGGCTTTTGAGCTGAAATGCCATAGAAAGATTCTCGAAATACCATGGACAAAGAAGAGAAGAAATACTGACATTTTAAAAGATCTGAACATCAAGGAAGATTGTCTAATAAACAGCATCTTGTCTCGGAAGCTGAATATTTTGGCTATTTCAGGCGCCATGACGGATTGGAAAAAATAACAGCAGAAGGCATGGTACCAGGAAGGAGGGGCACCAGCAGAACAACACGAAGATGGGCACAGAATATAAGTGACTCCTTGAATACGAAAGTACACGAGACGGGAGAGCTGACAAGAGATTGTGTTTATTTCATGCAGACAGTGATGAGAGCCATGTTCTGCATAGGACCTGCTACATGAAGCAGAAAGTGCAGTTAGAAATGGTGGTGCTGGAGTGTACATCGAATTCCCAGATGGTACTAGGGATAAGTCCAGCGTACCAACAGGGAAGTACTGCCATAACTATGAAGCAGAAACTCAGGCTATCAAGATAGCAACAGAGAAACTGCTAAATACAAATCTTGGCTCCCAGTATGTGGTAATGCTGATAGATGCTAAATCAGTACTTGAAGCACTCCAGTCAAGGAAACTACCAGAATTGCAAACACTGCTGACACAACTCAGTCTTCAGCGAAGAGTCGTAATGCAGTGGATACCGTCTCATTGTGGAGTGCCTGGAAATGAGAAAGCTGACCAACTGGCAGGGAAAGGTGCGACAAAAGAGCAGCCGGATGTACCAGTCACATACCACCAAAAGAAAATAATCATTAAATCGGTCAGGAAACCACCAGCCCCAGCGCAAGACAACTATTTTTTTATGGACAGACCAGAACAAGTCATTATCCTCCGCCTCAGAACAGGGCACAACCGATTACGTAACCACATGTACGCAAAATTCAAGATAGGTGTATCAGCCATGTGCACCTGTGGAAATGTGCCCCAGACAGCAGAGCATGTACTCCAGGACTGCACCGAATTTGACACATTAAGGCAAACCTTTTGGCCCGAAAGAACAACAGTGGAACGTAAACTCTATGGACCACTGAATGAACTAACAACGACAGTGAAATTTATACAAGAGACAAAACTGCTGATATAGACAACTTATTTCAGGGAACGAAAGAAGAAGAAGAAGAAGATGAAGAATGAAGATTTACTTTTTATATATTGTAGGTACTTCATCTGTAATTCATATTCCAGGTGTGAGTTAATAATGTCCGATTGACAGGTTTATGATTTATCAACAAACGATTGATAAGTTGTGATTTATCAATGTATGATTGATAGGTAGGGATTTATTGATGAATGATTGATAGATTGTGTTTTTCCATTGTGTAATTGTTTGATCATGATTATCAGTGTATGATTGATAGTTTGTTTTTCTTGTTCAATGAGTGCCTGATAACTAGTAATTGATCAGTGTATGATTGACATGTGTAAAACTGTAGACTGTGATTGATCAGTGTATGATTGACATGTGAGAAACTGTAGACTGTGATTGATCAGTGTATGATTGACATGTGTAAAACTGTAGACTGTGATTGATCAGTGTATGACTGATAGTTTGTTTTTCTTGTTCAATGAGTGCCTGATAACTAGTAATTGATCAGTGTATGATTGACATGTGTAAAACTGTAGACTGTGATTGATCAGTGTATGATTGACATGTGTAAAACTGTAGACTGTGATTGATCAGTGTATGACTGATAGTTTGTTTTTCTTGTTCAATGAGTGCCTGATAACTAGTAATTGATCAGTGTATGATTGACATGTGTAAAACTGTAGACTGTGATTGATCAGTGTATGATTGACATGTGTAAAACTGTAGACTGTGATTGATCAGTGTATGATTGACATGGAAGAAACTGTAGACTGTGATTGATCAATGTATGACTGACATGTGTGAAACTGTAGACTGATTGATCAGTGTATGACTGACATGTGTGAAACTGTAGACTGTGATTGATCAGTGTATGATTGACATGTGTGAAACTGTAGACTGTGATTGGTCAATGTATGACTGACATGTGAGAAACTGTAGACTGTGATTGATCAGTGTATGACTGACATGTGAGAAACTGTAGACTGTGATTGATCAGTGTATGACTGACATGTGAGAAACTGTAGACTCTGATTGATCAGTGTATGATTGACATGTGTGAAACTGTAGACTGTGATTGATCAATGTATGACTGACATGTGTGAAACTGTAGACTGTGATTGATCAGTGTATGACTGACATGTGTGAAACTGTAGACTGTGATTGATCAATGTATGACTGACATGTGTGAAACTCTAGACATCAAAGTGAGTGAATTATCTGCTTGTTTCAGTCAGTCTCAGAGGAGCTGGAGCTTGCCCGGTTGACCAGGGAGAGGGACGAGCTGAAGTCGTTGCTGGATAAATTTGAGAGACACATGTCTGAGGTAATGTCTGCTAGAGACACATGTCTGAGGTAATGTCTGCTAGAGACACATGTCTGAGGTAATGTCTGCTGTAAAAACTTGAGGTTTGAGAGATATGTATTAATTAGTGTTTGCAAGATATATGAGACACTTGATTGAACAAATAAATCCCGGGAGACAGTGAGAGCGAAGTGTAGATTTACCCAGTCCTGACCCTCAGACAACATGTTATCTGATAAAGAAGGACCAGAATACAATATTAAAACTCTGAACACAACACAGATCACTGAACATGCACCTGATCACTCTCCAAGCACAGCACAGACTATTGAACTTGCGAAAGAAAATCTCCATGAATCTTTAGGAATTTCCGTACAAAATTCCTTACAAAGGAAAAACTGTTTTAGACAGGTAACTAATAAATTGGGAATCCCCATTTACAAAGAACTATGGGCGCTGGCTGCAGATACAAATGAGGTGACTCATGCTGTGAGTTTGGAGCCCAGGAAGAGCTGGTACCATAGCAGCAGCAGCAGCAGTTGTATGCTAACTTGTGAATGTTTTGTTTCCCAGATCCAAGCCAACGTCAAAGTGCTGACTTATGAGAGGGACAAGCTCAACACCATGTACGCCGAGGTCAGGACATTATTACTGCATTCACTGACAAACATTGTGCTGATTTATAATGCATGCTGTGTTGTCCTGTTAGTTGATCTTCTTCTTCTTCTTTTCTCTACTTTTCTCTTGCGGTGTTAAGGGAGGAAGAGATCTCCAGAACGGGCCCTTCTGTTCGCTTTGTATATTGTACTTTTTCAGTGTCTCTGATATTTCTGCGGTCCATCTTCTGCATGGTCGACCTTTAGGTCTGTTACCACTGTATCTCTATAACATTGTTCTCTATGGGGCCCTGTCTGCTGTCAATCTTGTTACATGGCCAAACCATTTGATTTGTTCTCTACCTATCAAGCAGGATTGATTCTGTGCCGATTCTTCTCCTGATTTCATTGTTCCTAAGTCGATCTTTCCTCGTTACACCTAGCATTGTACATAAACATTTCTGCCGTGACTATTCTCCTTCTGTCTTCTGAAGATAGTGTCCATGTTTGACATTGATAGCAGAGCGTTTTTAAGAATATTGTGTTGAACAGTGTTCTTTTATTGTACTGTTAGTATATATATATACTGTAAAAAAAAAAAAAAAAGAGAAATGCATAGTTACTGAAAGAAACAAATTCACAATTTTGACTTTCTGCATCTTTGAAATGCAATTAGTTAAATAACTCAAATTTCACACAAGAATACCTTAGGGTTGCACCAATCAATTGACACCTTTTGTTTTGTATCTGGGTCATGATAAGCGTAGGCCTTTCCTCTTAGTAAGGTGAGTGGCCTCCTCTTGTGTGGATCATTGACTGGGATCTCCTGGGCATGGATGAGATCAGATGTCTGATGTGTGGCCTCCTCTTGTGTGGATCAGTGACTGGCATCTCCTGGGCATGGATGTGATCAGATGTCTGATGTGTGGCCTCCTCTTGTGTAGATCAGTGACTGGCATCTTCTGGGCATGGATGAGATCAGATGTCTGATGTGTGGCCTCTTGTGTGGATCAGTGACTGGCATCTCCTGGGCATGGATGTGATCAGATGTCTGATGTGTGGCCTCCTCTTGTGTGGATAAGTGACTGGCATCTCCTGGGCATGGATGTGATCAGATGTCTGATGTGTGGCCTCCTCTTGTGTGGATCAGTGACTGGCATCTTCTGGGCATGGATGTGATCAGATGTCTGATGTGTGGCCTCCTCTTGTGTGGATCAGTGACTGGCATCTCCTGGGCATGGATGTGATCAGATGTCTGATGTGTGGCCTCCTCTTGTGTGGATCAGTGACTGGCATCTCCTGGGCATGGATACAATCAGATATCTGATGTGTGGCCTCCTCTTGTGTGGATCATTGACTGGCATCTCCTGGGCATGGATGTGATCAGATGTCTGATGTGTGGCCTCTTGTGTGGATCAGTGACTGGCATCTCCTGGGCATGGATGTGATCAGATGTCTGATGTGTGGCCTCCTCTTGTGTGGATCAGTGACTGGCATCTCCTGGGCATGGATACGATCAGATGTCTGATGTGGGCCTGTGGAATGGCTGCCCACTCTTGCTGGAGTGCCTGGAACAGATAACGACCATTGGCTAGAGCAACGTTTCGGCGACAAACACGCCTTTGCAGCACATCCCAGAGGTATTCAGTCGGACTCATGTCTGCAGACAGGGATGGCCAGGGAAGGTTTTGAATGTTATTAGCTTTGCAGAATGGGGTCTAGCGTTTTCCTGTTGAAAAAGATATCTGTTGGCATCCCAAAATGGAAGGACATGTGGTCAAAGAATTTCATGGACGTATCGTTGCACATTCAAGCTTCCTTCGGTGTGCACCAATTGACTTTCTCCCCTTAAAACCGATCATTTCCCATACCATTACACCTTAACCACCGTGCAGCAGAGCTTCATCAACACAATTTTGGGCTAAACCTTTTTTTTTTTGTCTATGGTAGACCCTCCGGCGTCTATCATGACGCTGCAGCATTAAGAAGAATTCGTCATTGAACCAGACACATCTCCACTGATTGTCACTTGCCCAGGGACGATGTGGGTTACCCCAAAGAAGTCAATTTTGACGTGTAAGGACAGATCCTCGTTGTGATCCTCAAGCCCAAAGTCAAACATGATGCAGTCTGTTCCGAACAGTTTGATCAGACACATGACGTTCTGGAGGCAATGCCTGTGCAGTTGAGGAAGCTGTTCTAAGTCTGTCTCTGAGGGACAAAGCTGAATAAAGCGATTCTCCGCTGCTGTAAACACAATTGACCACTGCGTTGTAACGATTACAAAAACCCACGCAGTTCACGCGTGACTCTGCTTTTCACACACCCAAGTACAATATTCTATTTACAAACTAATAAAAACGTGCCATCGGATAACTGCATTTCTTTTTGTTTGTTTAACAGTATATATATATATATATTTTTGTAGTAGATATAGTCATTCCTTTCCTTTCTACCCTGGAAATTTTTGTGAGGAAAATGATAAAGCCTTTTACATTGTGCTCAAAAGTTCAGGGATTCATTTCACAGCTGCTGCATCATTCAGTTCAGAAGTGCTGTTTTTATGGGGAATCCTGGGGGTTGTTACCAGAGCTACTGAGTTCCTCCTTTGTGTGATGCTCGTGACAGGCAGCTAGCCATTTAACGGAGAGACGGAGCCATGTGGGATCAAACCTGATGCCATGAAGTCAGCCCTCTCAGCTGTAACTGTAACTCCCTTGTTTGAGTGTGCAACTTCCCGGACTTGTCGGTGGATTGTTTTTGTTCGGCCCTCTGAATGTGTTTTAGATTTTCCATTCCACATGTGGGTTCTAGGGCCCTAATGGAGAAGGGAGGAGGAAGACTACAGCACCCCCACCCCACACCCAAAAATCATGTCATAAAGTTCACTTATTAAGGATGTTTCCTTTGAACTCAGAATGCATCTGCTTGTCAACAGTCTGCACAGTGTTGGTAGGAATATGATGTTTCTTCATACAAATGTTTGAATATCTTAATAAGACCGTGATGTCATACGTTGGACATGTAGACAATGAATATCTAAACCCAGAATCTTTTTCTTCTTAACTTTAACCAGCTATAAACGTTGGCCTTTAACCTAGTTAAACTAACCTTTAAACTTTAACTTTTAAACTAGAGTTTTTCACATACATCTATTTTACAAATCTGGTATGCACACTGTTGGTTCCCTGACATCGAGGAAACAACCCTTATTAGTTGACTTTTATGACATGCTTGTTGGGTAGGCAGTGGATCTGTTCTTTTCCTTCTCCTGAACGGAGTCCCGGAACCCATGTGGGGATGACAAGATTGATGCTCTAGAAAGACAGCCAGCCAGCCCGGAGCTCACTCGGCTGTTGTTTGTGGTTTTCAGGCCAAAGATGAGTTAATGAACCTGAGAAGAGAACTGATCTCCTCACCCAAACAATCCAAGACTTCCCTGGCTGCTCAGGCTATCTTGAGGAGGATTGAAAATGAGAGGGATGATGCCATTGGTGATCTGAGGAGGATTACAACTGAGAGGGATAGCCTGAGGGAGAGGTTAAAGGTTAGATTTCATTTATATTGAAAGTTGTATGAGTTTTACTTCAGGGATGGTCTAAGGGAGAGGTTAAAGGTTAGATGTGGTTTATATTGAATGCTGTATCAGTTTTACATCAGGTATGGTCTAAGGGAGAGGTTAAAGGTTAGATGTGGTTTATATTGAATGCTGTATCAGTTTTACATCAGGGATGGTCTAAGGGAGAGGTTAAAGGTTAGATGTGGTTTATATTGAATGCTGTATCAGTTTTACATCAGGGATGGTCTAAAGGAGAGGCTAAAGGTTATATGCAGTTTATATTAAATGTTGTATGAGTTTTACATCATGGATGGTCTAAGGGAGAGGTTAAAGGTTAGATGTGGTTTATATTGAATGCTGTATCAGTTTTACATCATGCATGGTTTAAGGGAGAGGCTAAAGGTTATATGTGGTTTATATTGAATGTTGTATGAGTTTTACATCATGGATGGTCTAAGGGAGAGGCTAAAGGTTATATGTGGTTTATATTGAATGTTGTATGAGTTTTACATATTGGATGGTCTAAGGGAGAGGTTAAAGGTTATATGTGGTTTATATTGAATGTTGTATGAGTTTTACATCAGGGATGGTCTCAGGGAGAGGCTAAATTCATACCCAAGGCATCACTTTTATCCCATGCCCATCTTCGTGCTGATTCAGTCCTTATCTGTCTTTGAAGACTAATCACTTAGGGATTTATCTGGATTACCTTAACAAAAGAAACTCTGTGACAAGCTGGAGTGAAAGGAAATAAAAGAGCTGACAGACTGGCTGTGTCTGGGCAAGGAAAGATGATATGCCAGTCAACTCTTACTTATGTTGAGCATGGAGATTTAGATGGCTGCTGAACTGGAGGATGGAGCACATATGGGTCGGACCGATGTGCTAGGATGTTGATAGGGATAACAAGTAACAGTAACAAAGTGTTAACCACACACGTCTTCTGCTCTCACAGATTGCCACAGAAGCCTCCCTTTCTGACAGGGCCAAACTGGAGCAGCAGGTGGAGGATCTGGAGTCCACCCTACACACTGTAAGTGTCCATGTATCTGGTCATCTGTTGGCTTGGGACTTTCATACTGTGTGGTCAGTACAGTGTCTGGTCATCTGTTGGCTTTAGACTTTCAAACTGTATGGTCAGTACAGTGTCTGGTCATTTGTTGGCTAAAGGCTTTCATACTGTATGGTCAGTACAGTGTCTAGTCAGTTGTTGGCTAGAGGCTTTCATACTTTATGGTCAGTACACTGTCTGGTCATCTGTTGGCTAGAGGCTTTCATACTGTATGGTCAGTACAGTATCTGGTCATCTGTTGGCTAGAGGCTTTCATATTGTATGGTCAGTACAGTGTCTGGTCATTTGTTGGCTAAAGGCTTTCATACTGTATGGTCAGTACAGTGTCTAGTCAGTTGTTGGCTAAAGGCTTTCATACTGTATGGTCAGTACACTGTCTGGTCATCTGTTGGCCAGAAGCTTTCATACTGTATGGTCTATGGTGTCTTGTCATATTTTTAGTGCTTATGACATCAGCAGGTCTCAGTCCGGCCTGTGCATTGTGGTTATTTGAGTATCAAGCGGTTATTTGAGTATCAAGCGGTTATTTGAGTATCTAGCAATGATTTTAGTATCAAGTGGTTATTCGAGTATCAAACAGTTATTTTATGAGTATTAAACGGTTATTTGAGTATCAAACGGTTATTGGAGTATCAAGCGGTTATTTGAGTATTAAGCGGTTATTTAAGTGTCAAGCGGTTATTTGAGTATCTAGCAATTATTTTAGTATCGAGCGATTATTTGAGTTTCAAGCGGTTATTTTAGTATCAAATGATTATTTGAGTGTCAAGCGGTTATTTTAGTACCAGGTGTTAAAAATTTGTTTAGTGGTTTTTCTATATCATGAGAATCACTCCATCTCGCTGAGATTTCCTGCCATGTCCTTCCAGTTCTCACAGGCTGTCCTATATTCTAGGGATGTTATGAGATTTCTTCCTTTGGTGTCTCTACACAGTGCAAGGAAAAATGACTGGCGTTCATTCGATGAGGTCGACACACTGTCCCCCAGATGCAGCTGAGCAGCTTTTTCCCACTACTGTCTCTTGAGTAGATGAGTATTATTTCTGGAATGTGTTGTTGCTCTGAGTAGATCAGGTGTCTCAGCTGAAGAAGTACTGTAGGGGGAAGCATAGAAAGTGCGACAGTTCGTGAGTGTCGAATCATTGATGTTTTTGTTTTTTTACATTCGCTGGCGGAGACTGTCGTCACTGATGGATGTGTTTAAAACCTTTAAAACAAACAAAATTTGACACCCTTAGAACATAGGACAACCCGTGGGAACTGGCACAACATGAATGGGATCCGGCACAAAATCTTGGAGTGACTCTCATGATAAGTACCCTAATTTTGATTGAAATTTTGTTCTTTCTTTGTACTATGTTGTTGAACATTTGTTCTAGCTGTTGACTTTGGTAATATTATGTCATGTTGTTGAACATTTGTTCCAGGTGTTGGTACTATGGTATGGTTTTAAACCTATGTTCCAGCTGTTGTTCTATGTTGCAGGTGGAGCAGGAGAGAAACGAACTGGCTGTCAGGATCAACACTTTGAAGGATGAAGCTAAAGTCATGGAGGAACAGCTAAGGGATCAACAGATGAGATTAAACACAGCATCTGACGAGACCACTAAATATAAAACTTCGGCAGAACAAATGAAGTACGCTTACATTGTTTGTCTCCCTTGGGTAACAGTGATGAAAACTCCCTGGGGTAACAGTGATGAAATCAGGGCTAACTACAGTCAAGCTAATACTAAGAGTTGAGTTGATTTGATTCAAGAACTGACATCACAGCACTCGGGGCATTCCTATATGCGCTCCATCCCCATCTTCAGCAGCCAGTGCTGTTCTAGTAGCAGTGATGCCAGTAGCATTCTGATTATACGTCCGTCTTGCCTTTCCTATGAGTGTCGAGTATTGATCAGAAGCCCTGGTCACTCCCTGCTGTATCACCCCTGGTCACTCTCTGCTGTATCACCCCTGGTCACTCACTGCTGTATCACCCCTGGTCATTCACTGCTGTATCACCCCTGGTCACTCACTGCTGTATCACCCCTGGTCACTCACTGCTGCATCACCCCTGGTCACTCCCTGCTGTATCACCCCTGGTCATTCCCTGCTGTATCACCCCTGGACATTCCCTGCTGTATCACCCCTGGACATTCCCTGCTGTATCACCCCTGGTCATTCCCTGCTGTATCACCCCTGGTCACTCACTGCTGTATCACCCCTGGTCACTCCCTGCTGTATCACCCCTGGTCACTCACTGCTGCATCACTCCTGGTCACTCCCTGCTGTATCACCCCTGGTCACTCCCTGCTGTATCACTCCTGGTCACTCCCTGCTGCATCACTCCTGGTCACTCCCTGCTGTATCACTCCTGGTCACTCCCTGCTGCATCACTGATATACTAAGAAATGTATCCACTAAGCTGTAATTAAGAAGCTGAATGGAGGGAGAAAAGGAACAATCATACACCGGGAGAATTGGCTGTTTTCGCCGGAGCCTAGCTATAACCACAACATAACTAGCCAGCCATACTATGAAGGATGAACACGTAAAAATTAAAATTAAAAAATATTGAAGCCTTTTCCTTTAAACAGAATGCGTCATTCAAACCTGCGGCAATAAAACCTCTGCGTCAAATTTAATTTATGATCCGGTGAGATCCGTGCACTAACAAAGTCCGTGTCTATTAGGCCCATGTGCTGATGAGACCCATGGGATAATGAAATCTACCTATTAAACCCATGTGCTAGTGAAGTCTGTACTGATCAAACCCATTTACTAATGAAGTCTAGCTATTAAATCCATGTGCTAATGTAATCTGTATTTATTAAACCCACATGTTAACAACGTCTGTACCTATTATACTCATGTGTTAATGAACTCTGTCAATGAAAATGATGTGCTGATGAGACCAATGTGTTAATGAAATCTGTTTCTTTTTAACTAATGTGATGTCTAGACCTGTATGCTAATGAGACCCATATGCTAATGAGACCCATATATTGACGAGTCTGACCCGATGGACAGCATTTATCATATTATGTCAATATAAACGTGAGAAAGACTGTGTGAAGTGATGCTTGTGTGCTACTAGCAACTGTCTGTCCATGTAGTTTGATGACTGACGTCTGCCACGCAGGTTGCTTGTGGAGGAGACCGAGAAGACGCTGGAGAGTGCCTCACGTCGGCTGAGCAGGAAGGAGGAGGAACTTCGGGATCAGGGCCAGAGAATCAACTCCTTGGAGGAGAAGGTTCTAGAGCTTCAGCGAGTCAACCAGGTAACTGTCAGTTGTATATGAGTGTTTAGGCAACCCATTGGATGGGGATGATTTCTGTATCCAGTATGAACCAACCAGAGAATAGTTTTTTTCTGTATCCAGTATGAACCTGGCAAACAGTGGTAAATTTTTCTTTTTTTAAGTGTATGAACCAGGCAGACAATGATTATTTCTGCATCCAGTATGAACCAGCCAGACAGTGATTATTTCTGTATCCAGTATGAACCAGCCAGACAGTGATTATTTCTGTATCCAGTATGAACCAGCCAGACAGTGATTATTTCTGTATCCAGTATGAACCAGCCAGACAGTGATTTTTTCTGTATCCAGTATGAACCAGGCAGACAATGATTATTTCTGTATCCAGTATGAACCAGCCAGACAGTGATTATTTCTGTATCCAGTATGAACCAGCCAGACAGTGATTATTTCTGTATCCAGTATGAACCAGCCAGACAGTGATTATTTCTGTATCCAGTATGAACCAGCCAGACAGTAATTATTTCTGTATCCAGTATGAACCAGCCAGACAGTGATTATTTCTGTATCCAGTATGAACCAGCCAGACAGTGATTATTTCTGTATCCAGTATGAACCAGGCAGACAATGATTATTTCTGTATCCTGTATGAACCAGGAAATAGTTATTTCAGTCTCCAATAAAGTGAAAGTAAAAATTATGAAATCGTGCTTCTGTCCTGATGTATGTCATGGACTGTCTCAGTCTTTGAAAAAGAAAATCGAGCTTTTGAACTGAAAGGCTACAGAATGTCATGAACCAAGAAAAAGAAAAACATCAGCATCCTGCATGACTTGAACATCAAGGAGAACTGGCTCATAAACAGCATGCTCTCTTGAAAGCTGGGGTAGTTTACATATCAAGCGCCATGGTGGTCTCGAGGAACGGTTTATTGATTAAATCTATAAACATGAACTGAGTGAATCATTCAGTGGGTTACATTCCCCGGGGACCTAAACAAATATATGTATTGGGTGATTCTTTTCATAACCCCTGACCTCTATCACTGTGGCTTATGGGAAATTGTGACATCAAGGTGGCTTTATAAAACTATCTGGTTCACATGAAAACTCCCTAAGTGATAGTTTTAGTTAATATATTTATATTCTTATCTCCTAAACACTGCACAGACAGGAACCCAGCCAATACCATTAACTGTGCATCTTGTAAACTGGTCACTGTAGAAAAGTCAGCTTTCTCAGGCAATTGGACCCGACTGGAAGTGTCAGTTTTGCAACCTCTTACAGGGCAGCAGGGTTTAGGCCAGTCTTGATGCTGTCATCCCATCTTCTGCATGGTCTTTCCCTGCCTTTGTATCTGTTATATTTCTTCAGAATGGCTCTCTGTGGCAGGTGGTGCCAGAGCATTCTAGTCATGTGGTCAAGTATATTTCTTCAGAATAACTCTCTGTGGCAGGTGTTGCCAGAGCATTCTAGTTATGTGGTCAAGAAAACTGACAGTCATAGAAATGGGATCACTTGCCTTGTTTATTGTGCAGATTCAGAAGGAGGAGATTGATGTGCTGAGGTCCAACCTCAAGTGTGTGGACAGGGAGAAGGATTCCATACAGACGGCTGTTGATGAGAAAACTGAGAAGATAGCTCAGCTCAACAGTCAGCTCCATGACAAGGTAGGTCTCTGTCAGTGACATGATTATATGGGTACATTGAACGTTATCTGTCAGTGACATGATTATGTGGGTACATCAGAGGTTATCTGTCAGTGACATGATTATATGGGTACATCTGAGGTTATCTGTCAGTGACATGATTATGTGGGTACATCAGAGGTTATCTGTCAGTGACATGATTATGTGGGTACATCAGAGGTTATCTGTCAGTGACATGGTTATATGGGTACATTGAACGTTATCTGTCAGTGACATGATTATGTGGGTACATTAAAGGTTATCTGTCAGTGACATGATTATGTGGGTACATTAAAGGTTATCTGTCAGTGACATGATTATATGGGTACATTGAACGTTATCTGTCAGTGACATGATTGTGTATGTACATGGGAGGTTATCTGTCAGTGACATGATTATATGGGTACATTGAACGTTATCTGTCAGTGACATGATTATGTGGGTACATTAAAGGTTATCTGTCAGTGACATGATTATGTGGGTACATCAAAGGTTTTCTGTTAGTAACATGGTTATATGGGTACATTAGAGGTTATCTGTCAGTGACATGATTATGTGGGTACATCAAAGGTTATCTGTCAGTGACATTATGTGGGTACATCAGAGGTTATCTGTTAGTGACATGATTGTGTATGTACATGGGAGGTTATCTGTCAGTGACATGATTATATGGGTACATCAGAGGTTATTTGTCAGTGACATGATTATATGGGTACATCAGAGGTTATCTGTCAGTGACATGATTATATGGGTACATCAGAGGTTATCTGTCAGGGACATGATTTTATGGGTACATCAGAGGTTATCTGTCAGTGACATGATTATGTGGGTACATCAGAGGTTATCTGTCAGTGACATGATTATGTGGGTACATCAGAAGTTATCTGTCAGTGACATGATTATATGGGTACATCAGAGGTTATCTGTCAGTGACATGATTATATGGGTACATCAGAGGTTATCTGTCAGTGACATGATTATATGGGTACATCAGAGGTTATCTGTCAGTGACATGATTATATGGGTACATCAGAGGTTATCTGTCAGGGACATGATTTTATGGGTACATCAGAGGTTATCTGTCAGTGACATGATTATGTGGGTACATCAGAGGTTATCTGTCAGTGACATGATTATGTGGGTACATCAGAAGTTATCTGTCAGTGACATGATTATATGGGTACATCAGAGGTTATCTGTCAGTGACATAATTATATTTGTACATCAGAGGTTATCTGTCAGTGACATGTTTGTGTGGGTACATTGAAGGTTATCTGTCAGTGACATGATTATGTGGGTACATCAGAGGTTATCTGTCAGTGACATGATTATATGGGTACATCAGAGGTTATCTGTCAGTGACATGATTATGTGGGTACATCAGAGGTTATCTGTCAGTGACATGGTTATATGGGTACATCAGAGGTTACCTGTCAGTGACATGATTATGTGGGTACATCAGAGGTTATCTGTCAGTGACATGATTATGTGGGTACATCAGAGGTTATCTGTCAGTGACATGATTATATGGGTACATCAGAGGTTATCTGTCAGTGACATGATTATATTTGTACATCAGAGGTTATCTGTCAGTGACATAATTATATGGGTACATCAGAGGTTATCTGTCAGTGACATGATTATGTGGGTACATCAGAGGTTATCTGTCAGTGACATGTTTGTGTGGGTACATTGAAGGTTATCTGTCAGTGACATGTTTGTGTGGGTACATCAGAGGTTATCTGTCAGTGACATGATTATATTTGTACATCAGAGGTTTTCTGTCAGTGACATGATTATATGGGTACATCAGAGGTAATCTGTCAGTGACATGATTATATGGGTACATCAGAGGTTATCTGTCAGTGACATGATTATATTTGTACATCAGAGGTTATCTGTCAGTGACATGTTTGTGTGGGTACATTGAAGGTTATCTGTCAGTGACATGTTTGTGTGGGTACATTGAAGGTTATCTGTCAGTGACATGTTTGTGTGGGTATATTGTAGGTTATTTGTCAGTGACATGTTTGTGTGGGTATATTGAAGGTTATCTGTCAGTGACTTGGGTATGTGAGTACATTGAATGTTATCTGTTAGTGACATGATTATGTGGGTACATCGGAGGTTATCTATCAGTGCAGCTTTGTGGGTAAATTGAAGGTTATCTGTCAGTGACATGATTGTGTGGGTACATTGGAAGTTATCTGTCAGTGACATGATTGTGTGGGTACATTGGAAGTTATCTGTCAGTGATGTGATTGTTACAGAAAGGCATATATTTGTGCTTCGCAGATTACACCACAGCTTTTGATAAAGTGAAACATGATGAAATGATAAATTGTTGGAGGATTTTAACATTGATGGAAAAGATCTTAAAATAAAAAAAAATAAAAAATATTTACTGGAAGCAAGAAGCAGCAATTAAATTGGGAAATAAAGTGGACAGTTATGAACAGATAAAGCCAGGAGTGAGACAAGGATGAGTTTTGTCATCAGATCTCTTCTCTCTCGCTGTAGTGAAATAATAATGAGAAAGGTCAAGGACAGACCAGGAATACTAGCTGCAGGTTGTAATATAAGCAATCTTTGTTATGCAGAGGATACAGTATTAAAAGCTGAGAACACAGAAGACCTATACCAACTATTTGATATTGTTGTACTCTGCTGCAACCCTTTAATACAGTTTCTCATGTAGTGGCCACCTCCCAGCCATACAGTTTCTCATGTAGTGGCCACCTCCCAGCCATACAGTTTCTCATGTTGTGGCAACCCTTTAATACAGTTTCTCATGTTGTGGCAACCCTTTAATACAGTTTCTCATGTTGTGGCAACCCTTTAATACAGTTTCTCATGTTGTGGCAACCCTTTAATACAGTTTCTCATGTTGTGGCAACCCTTTAATACAGTTTCTCATGTTGTGGCAACCCTTTAATACAGTTTCTCTTGTTGTGGCAACCCTTTAATACAGTTCCTCATGTTGTGGCAACCCTTTAATACAGTTTCTCATGTTGTGGCAACCCTTTAATACAGTTTCTCTTGTTGTGGCAACCCTTTAATACAGTTCCTCATGTTGTGGCAACCCTTTAATACAGTTCCTCATGTTGTGGCAACCCTTTAATACAGTTCCTCATGTTGTGGCAACCCTTTAATACAGTTTCTCGTGTTGTGGCGACCCTTTAATACAGTTTCTCATGTTGTGGCAACCCTTTAATACAGTTCCTCATGTTATGGCGACCCTTTAATCAAGTTTCTCATGTTGTGGCAACCCTTTAATACAGTTTCTCGTGTTGTGGCGACCTCCCAGCCATACAGTTATTTTTGTTGCTACTTCATAACGTCAATGAATATGTGTTTTCTGATGGTCTTTGGCGACCCATGTAAAAATGTTATTCGATCCACAAATGGGTCGTGACCCACAGGATGAGAACCGCTGTACTAGAGAGTGCAAAAATGGGACTTTCCTTGAATTTCAAGAAAACAGTAAATATGGTTAAATCAAAGAAGAAAATAACTCCAAAATGTGACATAGCAATAGAAGGGAAAGTGCTGAACCAAACTCAATAAATTCAAGTATATCAGATCGATGATTGTGACAGAAGTTAAGAGCAGAATTGGCCAGACAAAGGCAGCATTTCAGAAGATGAAAAGTATCTTATATAATAAGTCACTTTCATTAAACGTCAGAAAACGAGTACTGAAATGTTACATCGAGTCTATTCTCTTGTATGGTAGTGAATCTTGGAATGTGAGCAAACAAATTAAAAACAGTTTGGAGGCAACTGAGATGGGGTTCTTGAGAAGAATGTTGTGAATACCTTGAACTGCCAGAAAAACTGACAATGACTGACTGGAAATGGCTTCTTGTGTGGATCAGTAACTGGCATCTCCTGGACATGGATGTGATCAGATGTCTGATGTGTGGCCTTCTCTTGTGTGGATCATTGACTGGCATCTCCTGGGCTTGGATGTGATCAGAGGTCTGATGTGTGGCCTCCTCTTGTGTGGATCATTGACTGGCATCTCCTGGGCTTGGATGTGATCAGAGGTCTGATGTGTGGCCTCCTCTTGTGTGGATCAGTGACTGGCATCTCCTGGGCATGGATGTGATCAGATGTCTGATGTGTGGCCTCTTGTGTGGATCATTGACTGGCATCTCCTGGGCATGGATATGATCAGATGTCTGATGTGTGGCCTCTTGCGTGGGTCATTGACTGGCATCTCCTGGGCATGGATGTGATCAGATGTCTGATATGTGTCTGTTGGATGGCTGCCCAATCTTCCTGGAATGACTGGAAAAGATCACGACCATTGGCCTGAACAACGTCTCGGCGACAAACACGTCTTTGCAGCTCATCCCACAGTTGCTCAATCGGACTCATGTGTGCAGACAGGGATGGCCAGGGAAGGGTTTGAATGTTATTGGTAGCCAGGAACTGCATAGTTTAACCACGCAGAATGGGGTTTAAAAAGATATCTGCTGGCATCCCAAATTAGAACTACATGTGGTTTAAGAATTTCACTGGAGTATTGTTGTGCGTTCAAGCTTGCTTCAGTGTTCACCATTGTAACTGATCATTCCCCACACCATAACACCTCTACGGCCGTGCAGCAGAGCTTCATCAACACATTTTTGGGCTGAACCTTCATTTTGCCTATGGTATACCCTATGTTGTTTATCATGCTGTTGCAACAAAAAGAAAGATTCATCACTGATTTAGACTCGTTTCTAATAATTGTTTCAGGAACGTTACATTGGAGATCTCAAGCTGAGGATTGGCGAGACTGAGGCCCAGCTGGAGTAAGTGTCTTTGATGTGATCCTGGTCAGAGTTGAGTTAGTTAAGGCTCAGTTCAGCTGATAATGGGACTGTTATTTTTATACAACAATTTCTGTTACCTCAATCCCATGTATGATTTGCAAGTAAGATAAAACCCACATATGATAATTCGTAAAAGGTCAGACCCACATATGATAATTCCCATATTAGATAAATCTCATTTAAGATTAATCCAGTCTAAGATAAATTCTGTATATGATAATTTCCATATAAGATAGTTTCCATATAAGATAAATCCCATTTAAGATAAATTCTGTATATGATAATTTCCATATAAGATAGTTTCCATATAAGATAAATCCCATTTAAGATCATTCTGTATATGATAATTTCCATATAAGATAAATCCCATCTATGGTAATTTCCCTTTAAAATAAATCCCGTACAAGACCAATCCCATATAAGAGTAAATTCCCAGATAATTGTTGTGTAAGAGAACTGCTGCCTGTGTAGGTTCCAGGGCTCCATTGTAGGGAACAATAGAGAACTGCTTCCTGTGTGGGTTCCAGGGCTCCATTGTAGGGAACAATAGAGAACTGCTCCCTGTGTGGGTTCCAGGGCTCCATTGTAGGGAACAATAGAGAACTGCTTCCTGTGTGGGTTCCAGGGCTCCATTGTAGGGAACAATAGAGAACTGCTTCCTGTGTGGGTTCCAGGGCTCCATTGTAGGGAACAATAGAGAACTGCTTCCTGTGTGGGTTCCAGGGCTCCATTGTAGGGAACAATAGAGAACTGCTTCCTGTGTGGGTTCCAGGGCTCCATTGTAGGGAACAATAGAGAACTGCTTCCTGTGTGGGTTCCAGGGCTCCATTGTAGGGAACAATAGAGAACTGCTTCCTGTGTGGGTTCCAGGGCTCCATTGTAGGGAACAATAGAGAACTGCTCCCTGTGTGGGTTCCAGGGCTCCATTGTAGGGAACAATAGAGAACTGCTTCCTGTGTGGGTTCCAGGGCTCCATTGTAGGGAACAATAGAGAACTGCTTCCTGTGTAGGTTCCAGGGCTCCATTGTAGGGAACAATAGAGAACTGCTTCCTGTGTAGGTTCCAGGGCTCCATTGTAGGGAACAATAGAGAACTGCTTCCTGTGTGGGTTCCAGGGCTCCATTGTAGGGAACAATAGAGAACTGCTGCCTGTGTAGGTTCCAGGGCTCCATTGTAGGGAACAGTAGATCTGCTGCCTCCTCATAAACATGTAGTGACAGTCAGTCAGTTGGTAGTGGTTCGTACGACGTTCAAGTGCATCTGCCTCTCAGGTACCAACAGTCTGCATATAAATAAGCCAGATTTGTTTAATGGGCGGGCATGCAAACCTCAGATTCTGGAACAGGACTAAAGTCCAGAGGTGAGCTAACAACTAGAACTTTCCACTAAGGTTTACAGCCAGTGACACTAAGCAGAAGAAGAAGAAGATAATTTCCATAGAAAGTAATTCCAGCCTAAAGTAATTTTTATGTAAAGCAATTCCCATGTAAAGTAATTCCCTGTGTAATAAATTAGTTCCACTTGCCTTTCACCCTGTCATCTGACTGTCATGGGTTTGTGATGATGTGACATCTTAGGGCAGTGACCCGTTTCCCCATTTTTTAGCTGTTCTGTTGGGATGGGAATATATATATATTTTTGTCATTGTCAGTCATAATAAACTTTCTGATGATGTCAGTTTGCTCACTGTGGCTGACAACAGAAACCCATGTTTTCTTGGTGAAAGGGAAGGAAAGCAGTCATTTCTTTGCTCTTTTTGTTTGTAGTGATTACTTCCCTTAGTATATAAAAAAAAAGACATCATCATTAGTTACTTGAAGGCTGCCAGGTGGCAACAGGTAGCAGACTTGCCTGTCTGCTCAGCTGTCATAGGTTTCAACTCCCTGGATTTTTATGAAAACTGAGCAAACTCCAAATTTCTTCAGCTTCTTCTTCTCTTCTTCTAGTGTCTGGGGTCGAGTTTCAGAGAATGATTACAGTGCATTTCTGTTTGAAAGCATGTGGGAAAAGTTGATTGTGTTTTAAGGGTTGTAAGAGGTAAAGGGGTTAAACACTTGCTTGTATCTGGCCATATTGTGCTGATGTCAACTTATTGCTGAATACTGACATGTAGCTAACCACATCCATCTGTTGCTGAGTCAGGCATGCCAACGAGACCTTGAATCTGAAGGACAGGGAGTTGAAGAGCATGCGGCGGCAGCTGGACTCGATGTCCGAAGAGCTGATGGAAGTTTCCAGAACCAAAGATCTGATGGCCAGGGAAAACCGCAGACTGCAAGATGACCTGGCTGTCATGACCAAGGAAAACCAGGTAATCTTGGCTCAGGTCCCTTCAGATTGGTTATTGAGGTAAAATCTCTTCTGTCTGTGTCTTTAGATTTCCCTCTATTTCCTCTGCCCTGTGAGTTCCAAGGAAAAGACCTTCTAGTCATGCATGTTTTCTCAACACATGTCTTAATCTGCACTTGGACTCTTTCCTTGGCCTTGATTGCTGAACCGTGACAGAACTCAGTGAAGGTGGGAAGAGGTAACAAACAACAACACATCTACAAAAACAATCAGACCTTTTGACAGCAGCCTTGATCAACAACAAAGGGGAGAATATCCTGGCCACTGGGGGAATACACGAATAACTGCAAAATATGGGGGAAGGAGGGGGGGGGGGGGCGATGCAAATGACTCAAATAATGGAACAAAAGTAGTAATAATAATAGGAAATCTTGGTAGTAGATGTAGTAGTAGTTGTAGAAATTATACTAACAATATCGCCAGTGGTGATAATAGTCAAAATAATACACAATAAATCGCTGAGATTTGTTGAGTTCTCTTTAGGAGCTTTGCATGAGTGATTTGTCATCCCATTTTAGTTGCTTCTGTTGTGTACAGGCACCTGTTAGTCTTCTTGTTCTTCAATCCTTGTGTCAGAAAACTGTTATCAGGAGGCCGGTAGCCTTATTGAAAGTTATCCTGCAGGCCATGTGCCCCTGAGTATCATACAGTTGGGTCTGGATTGAGGTTGCAACAGGCCAGAATGCTTCTCTGTTAACATCAAACCATCTCCAGTGTTGGAGCACATGCTCAGCATTTTCTGGTGCCCAGTTGCAGGGACACGTCTCTGTGTTTCAGACTATCAAAGACTGGAACATATGTTGACAAAGTCTCTTGTGCCGTGTCCTTAGTCTGGCTGCGATAGATGGACCATGTCTTGAGATGAAGTGCGTCTTGGATCAGTTAATGAATGATTGTAGTTAAATAAAGCTGCTTTATTTCTCTGTAGTTCCACAGTTCTGAATTAAGACAGCAAACAACTGAGTAAAATGTGGTTTATGTTTGTGCAGAAAATGAACCAAGAGCTGGAGGATACCATTGATGAGAAGGAGGCTCTGAAGACACAGGTGCAGCAGTACATCCTGGAAGTCCGACGTATCGAAGATGTTCTTGGTGCTAAAGTATGTTTACCGTTGGGTCATTTGTTGGTAGAATCTTTTTGTGTGTGTGTGTGTGTTCCTATTAAAAGGATGGTTGGCATATTGTCTTGTAAGTTAGAACTAGGCTGCAAAAACTGTTTAACAACCCAACACATCTAATTTCTCCAGTCCTTAATTAGTTGTCTTTTATGACATGCTTGTTGTGGGGCAGTATACCTAATTCCCTGCCCCCTTGCTTCCCCCAAAATTGGGTTCCCAAAACCCACACAGGGAAGGGCATTCTTGAATAAGTACACAGACCCTCAATGTCCTAGTCATGGTAAATGCTGGAATTTGCATGCAGCTAGCATTGGTTGCTGAACAAAAACAGTTAATGACTGAAATCTTTGCATAACTTCAGTTAATAAAAAACGTTTCATAAAGAATGTTCTCACCTACTTTTGCCCACACCTTCTGATATGCGTTATTTCATAATAGCTGCAATTTGTTCCTATTTCATACTTTCTGTTCCATGTTGACCTTGTTTATTAGGATGTTATTTCTTCTGCTACTTCTTTGTTCATGTGAGTGATGACATGCACTGTGCCTGTTTACAGCATGGCTGAGGTATTCACACCAGTCAGCCTACACGTCCGACTTGTTCAGCCGTTTGTTTTTTTTTGGATGTGCCTTCCTGGTTAGTTTCTTGGCACATTTGACAGCCTCAGTTGTGTGGGGGCTTGGTCATGCCCTTACTTTGGTTTTGTCCTCTAGAGGACCCATCTAAGACAGCTGTGTGCAGACTGACCAGCTTCAAGGGAAGATATGGGCATTCCCTGCCATCTAAGACAGTTGTAAGCAGACTGGCCAGCCTTAAAGGGAAGACATGGGCATTCCCTGCCATCTAAGACAGCTGTGTGCAGACTGGCCAGCCTTCCAGGGAAGATATGGGCATTCCCTGCCATCTAAGACAGCTGTGTGCAGACTGGCCAGCCTTCCAGGGAAGATATGGGCATTCCCTGCCATCTAAGACAGTTGTGTGCAGACTGGCCAGCCTTCCAGGGAAGATATGGGCATTCCCTGCCATCTAAGACAGCTGTGTGCAGACTGGCCAGCCTTCCAGGGAAGATATGGGCATTCCCTGCCATCTAAGACAGCTGTGTGCAGACTGGCCAGCCTTCCAGGGAAGATATGGGCATTCCCTGCCATCTAAGACAGCTGTGTGCAGACTGGCCAGCCTTCCAGGGAAGATATGGGCATTCCCTGCCATCTAAGACAGCTGTGTGCAGACTGGCCGACCTTATAGGGAAGATATGGGCATTCCCTGCCATCTAAGACAGCTGTGTGCAGACTGGCCAGCCTTCAAGGGAAGATATGGGCATTCCCTGTCATCTAAGACAGCTGTGTGCAGACTGGCCTGCCTTCAAAGGAAGATATGGGCGCAGCATGGGCATTCTCTGCCATTCAGGAGTCTTGCATAAGGATCAGTTAAACCAGCACAGAGCCTGCTGGTATCTGAGAGGAGTGGCGGGCTATTCCCTATTATCCAGCACAATGACCTTGACTTGACCTCATGCCTGAGATCAAAATCAAATCCACTGTTTTGTCAGTTGATAATGTCTGGTCAAAATGTTCGGTTGGTTATATTTGTGGACATTTTGTTTACCTGGTGAGCTTTGTTGGGATAGTTTGTATTATGTTTTGTGACTTGTTCATATGTTACTAATCACTGTTTTTGTTGTTGTTATTTGTCTACTCTGTTATGAAAAGATTTTCAAAATACAATGGACCAAGAAAAGAGTGTCAACAACAAGAGTTGGTTTTGTTGATGTTGTGATTTATATACTTTACTGTAGGAAGAATTTCAGAATTCCATGGACTAAGAAGAGAAGAAATGCTGACATCCTGCAAGATCTGAATATCAAGGAATATTGTTGGTTAGTAAACAGCATCTTTTCCAGAAACTGAAATATTCTGATGATTTCAACACTGTGGTGGGTTGAAAAGAATAGCAACGGAGGGCATGGTGCCAGCAAAGAGAGGCAGGGGCTGACCGGCAGGAAGATGGGCACAGGATAGAAGCGACAACTTGGGTATGAAAGTGCATGAGGGGAAGGTCTGGCAAGATATTGAGGTTCTCTCTGTGACAGTCTGTAAACGACCTGCCATGTGATGATGATGATGTACTTTGTCAAGTGACTGTTGTACTTTCTCTGCACGCAGGAACAGGAGAGATCCGATCTGCTGGATCAGTACCGCAAGCTGTCCATGGAGCTTGAGCAGTACCAGACTTCCAGCCATCAGCTGGAGAGTGAGGGTTCCAACCTGCGGCTGGAGCTGATGACCAAGGACTCTGAGATCAGGAGACTGCGGGATAAAGTGGACAATCTGGAGAGAGAGATCCAGGAGGTAGGCAGTTGTGTCCTTTAGAGAGACAGATCCAGGAGGTAGGCAGTTGTGTTCTTTAGAGAGAGATCGAGATCCAGGAGGTAGGCAGTTGTGTTCTTTAGAGAGAGAGAGAGAGATCCAGGAGGTAGACAGTTGTTTTCTTTAGAGAGAGAGATCCAGGAGGTAGGCAGTTGTGTCCTTTAGAGAGAGAGAGAGATCCAGGAGGTAGGCAGTTGTGTTCTTTAGAGAGAGAGAGAGAGATCCAGGAGGTAGGCAGTTGTGTTCTTTAGAGAGAGAGAGAGAGATCCAGGAGGTAGGCAGTTGTGTCCTTTAGAGAGACAGATCCAGGAGGTAGGCAGTTGTGTCCTTTAGAGAGAGAGAGAGATCCAGGAGGTAGGCAGTTGTGTTCTTTAGAGAGAGAGAGAGAGATCCAGGAGGTAGGCAGTTGTGTCCTTTAGAGTGAGAGATCCAGGAGGTAGGCAGTTGTGTCCTTTAGAGTGAGAGATCCAGGAGGTAGGCAGTTGTGTTCCTTAGAGAGAGAGAGAGATCCAGGAGGTAGGCAGTTGTGTTCCTTAGAGAGAGAGAGAGATCCAGGAGGTAGACAGTTGTTTTCTTTAGAGAGAGAGATCCAGGAGGTAGGCAGTTGTGTCCTTTAGAGAGAGAGAGAGATCCAGGAGGTAGGCAGTTGTGTTCTTTAGAGAGAGAGAGAGAGATCCAGGAGGTAGGCAGTTGTGTTCTTTAGAGAGAGAGAGAGAGATCCAGGAGGTAGGCAGTTGTGTCCTTTAGAGAGACAGATCCAGGAGGTAGGCAGTTGTGTCCTTTAGAGAGAGAGAGAGAGATCCAGGAGGTAGGCAGTTGTGTTCTTTAGAGAGAGAGAGAGAGATCCAGGAGGTAGGCAGTTGTGTCCTTTAGAGAGAGAGAGATCCAGGAGGTAGGCAGTTGTGTCCTTTAGAGTGAGAGATCCAGGAGGTAGGCAGTTGTGTTCCTTAGAGAGAGAGAGAGATCCAGGAGGTAGGCAGTTGTGTTCTTTAGAGAGAGAGAGATCCAGGAGGTAGGCAGTTGTGTTCCTTAGAGAGAGAGAGAGATCCAGGAGGTAGACAGTTGTTTTCTTTAGAGTGAGAGATCCAGGAGGTAGGCACTTGTGTCCTTTAGAGAGAGAGAGAGATCCAGGAGGTAGGCAGTTGTGTTCTTTAGAGAGAGAGAGAGATCCAGGAGGTAGGCAGTTGTGTCCTTTAGAGAGAGAGAGAGATCCAGGAGGTAGGCAGTTGTGTTCTTTAGAGAGAGAGAGAGATCCAGGAGGTAGGCAGTTGTGTTCTTTAGAGAGAGAGAGAGATCCAGGAGGTAGGCAGTTGTGTTCTTTAGAGAGAGAGAGAGATCCAGGAGGTAGGCACTTGTGTCCTTTAGAGAGAGAGAGATCCAGGAGGTAGGCAGTTGTGTTCTTTAGAGAGAGAGACCCAGGAGGTAGGCAGTTGTGTTCTTTAGAGAGAGAGAGTGAGGAGAGAAAGAAAGGGGGTAGATAGGTGTGTTCTTAAGAGAGGAGGAGGGTTGGCGGAAGAGTGTGAGAAGAGAGGTGGAGGGAGAGATGTAGAAAGAGGTAGATTCAGGAAGTAAACAGTTGTCTTTTTTGTAGAGAGAGACATCCAGGAGATAGATAGTTTTGCTCTATAGAAAGAGAGAGAGAGAGAATAAGCAGACATTGTGTTAGGTCATCTGGATTGAGAGAGAGCTAGATTTGTGTTGTTTTTAAAAAGTAATTGCTTGTCCTCTTCAGGAATTACAGGCCAGTTTATAATTTATCTTGTATGATTTGACGAGGCAGTTTAACATTCAGTAGGTTGCCATTGCCTCTGAGCGGTTGGCGATCAAAATGTTGTCTCTATCAATGCAAAACTGTCTACTGCTGAGTCTTCTTTTTCCCCTCCCTTTTTTACCACTTCTGGTGTCGAGGGAGATATAAGGTTGTGTATATTGATCTTCTGACTACTTGCTATGACCACAGACACATCGTGGTGCTGTAGAGTTTCTCTGATGTTATCATTCTGTGTGGTTCTTGGTCTGCCTCATGATCTGTGCCCTCCTATTTTAGTGTAGGCGTTATATGATATGGCATCACAAATTATTCTCTCAAAGCAGACAAAATGCTTGAGTTCCTGTCTTGAAATGACATTTAGAGTTAGTTCTGTGCAGACTGTTCATTATGACCTCATGATTGTGTCTCTTCTGGTCACTCCTGCTGCCCTTCTTACACATCTCGTTTCCATGGTTACCAGTGAAGTTAGCTACCAACTCAGGCAGCTAAATTTGAATTCTGGTATGCTGGGATTATGAAACTTTTCACAATTCATAAATCATGGATGCTGTGTTATGTATGTAACAATTTTGTGTGCTGTAACTTGACTTAGTTCTTCTTCTTCTCCCTCTTCTTCTTTTTCTTCTTCCCTCTTCTTCTTCTTCTTCTTCTTCTTCTTCTTCTTCTTCTTCTTCTTCTTCTTCTTCTTCTTCTTTTTCTTCTTCTTGTTCTGTTTAGTGCTCATCATTTGGGTCTGAAAGACAAGTGTTTGGAAGGGCCAAATGTAAGACAGCCCTCCAGGCCCAAGTTGTGACCCTTTGAAAATAAAGTTTGTTCATTTATTCGTTCATTCCCTGGTTGTGCCACTGAAGTCTTTAGTCTTATTCCAGAACTTGAGTCTTTTTTGGACATCCGTTTTACAACTCTGGCTGATTTGTATGCAGACTGTTGGTTCTCACCTCTCATGCAGATGCATTCCAACTTTGAAGCAGACACTCTAATTCAACATCTTTTACGACAAGCTTGTCAGGAGGCAGCGGGTCTGTTCTTGTACTCCCTACAATGAGTTCTTGGAATCTACACATGGAATTTGATATGGTTAAAACCTTTGATGTGCCAGTTTGTACTTACTTTCTTGGGTAGCTGATTTCTCACAAACTTCTAACCCAAATTTCAGCATTTGCAGACTCACCAAGCATATGAAATTCAGGTGTCTAACCTGACCCGCTCGGTGGCCAACCTGGAGGAGAACCTTAGAGTGACCGAGGATGAGAAACAGATGCTTCTCTCGGACATGTCCACGGCCAAGGAGATTTGTTCTCGCCTGGAGACCAGTAAGGAGAGTTTGAACCGCCAGCTCTCGGCCGCTGAACTAGATAAAGAGCAGGTAGATGCCATCATGTTTTTTCTTCTTCTCCTTTCATTCCTTTTCATCTTCCTCTTTCTTTCTCTCATTCCTTCGTCCCCTATTACTTCTCCACTTATTTCTTCACCTCTTCCTTTTTTTGCCCCTCATTCCTTTTCATGTTCCTAAATCTCCCCTTCCAGGGTTTTTCTCTCCACATTTATTTTCATCTTTTGCTATCTCCCCTTGTTCCTTCTCCTCTTCCTCTTTCCACCCTCATTCCTTCTCCTCTTCCTCTTTCTACCCTAATTCCTTCTCACCTTCCTGTTTCTCCTCTCATTCCTTCTACTTTTTCTCTTTCTCCCCTAATTCATTTTCACCCTTCTCAGCTTTTTTTTTTCTCCCCTTTTTCCTTCACCTCTTCCTCTTTTCCCTCTCTTTCCCCCTCTTTCTTTATCTACCTATTCATTCTCCTCTTTCTCATCTCATTCCTTTACCTCTTCCTCTTTCTCTCATTTCTTCTCATTCTCTGTCTTCCTTCATTCTCCTTTGTTCACCAGTGTATGCAAGTAGTTTTCACACATGGTATTTTACACACGAGCAGTAACCAGCATTTCTCTCTGTTGTCTTGTTATCTCGTGTAGCCTTTGTTGTCTATCATCTGACTCCTCAGTCAGTGTTTGATCTGTCTTGTGTGTCCTAAATGTGATCTGTCTTGTGTTTCCTATGTTTGATCTGTCTTTTGTGTCCAATGTTTGATCCATCTTATGTGTTCTTTGTTGTCCTTTATTTCAGGCTTGAGTCAATGAATTGATCTATCTAGAGTGTCCTATCTTTAATCCATCTTGTGTGTGCCCTAGTGCCGTCAACTTTTCAGTCCCTAGCTGATGATTGCTCTGCATTGCGTCCCAGCCTTCTTGTCTTGATTGTGTGTTTCTGCATCCCAATCTTCTTGTCTTAATTGATGTTTCTCGTATGTTTCTACATCCCAACCCTCTTGTCTTGATGGATGTTTCTTGTGTGTTTCTCAGTTGAAGAACTTGATATCCGACCTGCAGCAAGAGAACGAGTGCCTCCGTGCCCAGATTGAGCACGAACGTGGCAACAGCAAAAATCTGGAGAGTGTTCTACAAGACAACCGAGAGAAGGAGTTCCACGCGCAGCTGTCCACCCAGGAGAAGATCACGGAGATCCAGATGTTGAAGGATCGATTGTCTCTGAATGAAAGCAAACTGTAAGTAGTTTCTCCACCACAACTTTTGTCTTCACCTGTTTCTTGTCTCCTTCCTTCTGGTCTTCTCTTGTGTTTTTTTCAGTCACTCTGTGTACAGAGCGATGCTCACATCTGACAGGGGACACCACAGTCTAGCTGGGAACAGTACAGTCTAGCTGGGAACAGTACAGTCTAGCTGGGAACAGTACAGTCTAGCTGGGAACAGTACAGTCTAGCTGGGAACAGTACAGTCTAGCTGGGAACAGTACAGTCTAGCTGGGAACAGTACAGACTAGCTGGGAACAGTACAGTCTAGCTGGGAACAGTACAGTCTAGCTGGGAACAGTACAGTCTAGCTGGGAACAGTACAGTCTAGCTGGGAACAGTACAGTCTAGCTGGGAACAGTACAGACTAGCTGGGAACAGTACAGTATAGCTGGGAACACCACAGTCTAGCTGGGAACAGTACAGTCTAGCTGGGAACAGTACAGACTAGCTGGGAACAGTACAGTATAGCTGGGAACACCACAGTCTAGCTGGGAACACCACAGTCTAGCTGGGAACAGTACAGTATAGCTGGGAACAGTACAGTCTAGCTGGGAACAGTACAGTCTAGCTGGGAACACCACAGTCTAGCTGGGAACAGTACAGTATAGCTGGGAACACCACAGTCTAGCTGGGAACAGTACAGTCTAGCTGGGAACACCACAGTCTAGCTGGGAACAGTACAGTCTAGCTGGGAACAGTACAGTATAGCTGGGAACAGTACAGTCTAGCTGGGGACACCACAGACTAACTGGGGACACCACAGACTAACTTGGGACACCACAGACTAACTGGGGACACCACAGACTAACTGGGGACACCACAGACTAACTGGGGACACCACAGACTAACTGGGGACACCACAGACTAACTGGGGACACCACATACTAACTTGTGACACCACAGACTAGCTGGGACACCACAGACTAGCTGGGACACCACAGACTAGCTGGGATACCACAGACTAGCTGGGACACCACAGACTAGCTGGGGCACCACCGACTAGCTGGGGACACCACAGACTAGTTGAGGACACCACAGACTAGCTGGGGACAGCACAGACTAGCTGGGGACAGCACAGACTAGCTAGGGACACCACAGACTAGTTGAGGACACCACAGACTAGCTGGGGACAGCACAGACTAGCTGGGGACAGCACAGACTAGCTGGGATACCACAGACTAGCTGGGGACAGCACAGACTAGTTGAGGACACCACAGTCTAGCTGGGAACACCACAGTCTACCTGGGAACACCACAGTCTACCTGGGAACACCACAGACTAACTGGGAACACCACAGACTAACTGGGGACACCACAGACTATCTGGGGACACCACAGACTAGTTGAGGACACCACAGACTAACTGGGGACACCACAGACTAACTGGGGACACCACAGACTAACTGGGGACACCACAGACTAACTGGGGACACCAAAGACTAACTGGGGACACCACAGACTAACTGGGGACACCACAGACTAGCTGGGGACACCACAGACTAGTTGAGGACACCACAGACTAACTGGGGACACCACAGACTAACTGGGGACACCACAGACTAACTGGGGACACCACAGACTAGCTGGGGACACCACAGACTAGCTGGGGACACCACAGACTAGTTGAGGACACCACAGACTAACTGGGGACACCACAGACTAACTGGGGACACCACAGACTAACTGGGGACACCACAGACTAACTGGGGACACCACAGACTAACTGGGGACACCACAGACTAACTGGGGACACCACAGACTAGCTGGGGACACCACAGACTAGCTGGGGACACCACAGACTAGCTGGGGACACCACAGACTAGCTGGGGACACCACAGACTAGCTGGGGACACCACAGACTAGCTGGGGACACCACAGACTAGTTGGGGACACCACAGACTAGCTGGGGACACCACAGACTAGCTGGGGACACCACAGACTAGCTGGGGACACCACAGACTAGCTGGGGACACCACAGACTAACTGGGGACACCACAGACTAGCTGGGGACACCACAGACTAGCTGGGGACACCACAGACTAACTGGGGACACCACAGACTAACTGGGGACACCACAGACTAGTTGAGGACACCACAGACTAACTGGGGACACCACAGACTAACTGGGGACACCACAGACTAACTGGGGACACCACAGACTAACTGGGGACACTACTTTCCACCTAGCATGGATCCCTAATGATTAGCTAGCTTGGGTTATTGGGTTATTCTTGCGAACATAAACGAATAGACAGGTTAAACTCCCCCTTCCCTTCCCTCCCCTTTACAAAACAGTAACGTTACAACAGAGAGACATGGAAGGATAACTTGTGTACCTGTTTGTGTTTCAGACAGAGCATGAGCCGAGAGGTTGCCTCCCTGCGGACCAGGAACGTAGAGTTGGAAGGGGATGTGGAGAGGATGAGGCGGCAGTTAACTAGTGAACGATTTGAGAGGTAGGCATCAGTTAGGGATGTGGAAGTTGTAGTGACTGAATGGCTGGTGAATGACATAGGAGGTAGGCAGCAGTTAGGGATGTGGAAGTTGTAGTGACTGAATGGCCAGAGAATGACATGAGAGGTAGGCATCAGTTAGGGATGTGGAAATTGTAGAGACTGAATGGCTGGTGAATGACATGAGAGGTAGGCAGCAGTTAGGGATGTGGAAGTTGTAGTGACTGAATGGCCAGAGAATGACATGAGAGGTAGGCATCAGTTAGGGATGAAGTTGTAGAGACTGAATGGCTGGTGAATAACATGAGAGGTAGGCAGCAGTTAGGGATGTGGAAGTTGTAGTGACTGAATGGCCAGAGAATAACATGAGAGGTAGGCATCAGTTAGGGATGAAGTTGTAGAGACTGAATGGCCAGAGAATGACATGAGAGGTAGGTATCAGTTAGGGATGTGGAAGTTGTAGAGACTGAATGGCCAGAGAATGACATGAGAATAAGAATCATCTTGTAGATCTTAAGATCACTGCCATGTGACATATGTTGGTGTTAATGAACATCACCACTTGATTTCCTGTAAGTTTCAAATGTTCGGGTGCTAATACCACACACTACCTTGATTTCTAGATCGTGACCTGACCTTCATTTTGGTTTCACCCCCCCCCCTCCTCCCCCCGCCCCCCACCCCTCCCCCACCAATTCATGTTCTGCCCTTTTTTATTATTATTATTTATTCTGACCAATCATATTCTTCCATGATGTATAAGTTATTGTTCTGAGCAGTGATCTTTTTCTTTGAGTTGAAATTTTTTTTTTAAATATTTGTCCAATCATGTTTGTTTAGCTTGTTTTATCACAGCAGTGATTTTCCTGTTTGACCTAGGATTTACTCTGACCACTGACAGCTTCCTTGAATGTCTTGATTCTGTCCGATTATATTCTTTCTTAATGTATAAGTTATTGTTCTGTGGCTTGTTTTATCTCAGCAATGATATTCTTATTTGACCTAGGATTTACTCTGACCACTGACAGCTACCTTGACTGTCTTGATTCTGACCAGTGATATCGTCTCTGATTTACACAGAGAGCGAGTTGTACAAGAGCTGCGACGTAACGGTATACAACCACCTGTGATGATCAGTGAATACGCGGGTCGCAGCATTAGCCCGGGCAGATCTCGTAGTCCCGCACGAACCTACAGCCCTACGACCAGCATTAGAGCAAGGTCTAGGTCGCGGTCAAGATCGCCAGGTGTCAGGTGAGAATCTTGTTGAATGTCTTTGACTCTTCCTGCACTGGGCTGCTCTTATATTGTGTTCTGTAGAGTTCTTCTTCTCTTCTTCTCATTCTTCTCTTCTTCTGTTCTTCTGTTCTTCTCTTCTTCTGTTCTTCTGTTCTTCCAGCTACTTCAGCAAGGTGTTGGGGCAGATGTCAGGATCTTCTTTAGTGCTTTGATTCAGTTTAAACAAAAAACTAAAGGACTTTTTTCACACCTTCAGGTGTATTGGGCATATAGGGCTAGACCTATATTTTATTGACCAGTCGACACTTGGTGGATGATGTGGTCAGCATTATGCCAGCTGCCTTTACTTCCCAGGACTACTTGGTACCCGCCCCAGGGTGGGTCAACCTGGGGGTCTGGCTCTGTCAGGACCCAAACCTGTGGCTGTTTGTGGCAGTTGGTACCAGGAGATTGCTACCAGGTGACCAAACCATCTCATCAGTTGCTCTATAATGAAGTGTATTACTGGTTTTGGTTCTTATAGCATTTTCAGGCCCATATAGGTTAGTGCCGCCCATTTACATACTACGGAATTTTACATTGATATTTGATCAGCCGAGTCGACTTCTGTAAAGGTTAGAGTGGTGTTGTTGTGGCTGTATCCAACGGGTGTCATTTTATGACACACATATACGACTTCAGAACATCAAGAACTCACTCTGCTGTGACACAACCTCTATATTACAGCAAGTTAGCAATTTTTACGACCCCATAAAATCTGCAACTGGCCCTAGCCCAAACCCCATTCACCACAAACCGAACCTATGTCACACGAGACAGTGCATTCTATGTGCCGTGGTTTTACACTTCACATTTCGGGGTGGGTGGCACAACGCTGTGTTGCTGCAGACATGGAACTCTACCCTCTGCAATAAACTCATTTCCTACGCAAAATCCTTGGACGGCTGTCCTGTACCCACCAACAAACACTAATACAATATACTGAGTTGCTCAGAAAAGCTACTGCAATACACTGTGTACCTGTTCGCACTCCAACATTTACACAAGAAGTCCTGATCTTCTCATATCTTTATTTTTAATTCGATCTCTTCTTGTTATTCTGACAGCTCTTCTAAGACATCTCATCTCTGTTGTTATCAGAAAAAATGGTGCTGGTACTCTTCACAGAATGTTAAAACAAGGTGCCGATACTCACCTCAACATGTCTACTACAGCAGTGACCAAAAATTTGTGCGCTTAAAAAAAAGTGCAAAAGCTCTGGTTATGATTCTGGGCTCCTTAGTTGTAGTAAAGGTCGGAGTTTGCTACTGGTGGCCTAAAGTTGGCCAAGCAGTCGAGTTTTCATTAGAAGTTACTGGAAGTAATTAGTATATGAGTCTGAGATGTTACAAGATACCACTGGGACGGAAGCCGTCAAAATAAGAAATTGGGACAAGACTGGGTGAGCGTAACCCACATGAATGGTTACATGTAGTTGAGAATTAAAATAAGAACTGGGGCAGAGTGGGTGAAAGTAACCCACTTCTTCTTAGCGTTTACTGGCTGTAAACTCTAGCAGACAGTTGTTTTGTTTGTTCGTTCACTTTTTGTTCCAGAACTTGAGTTTCACATGCACATCCATACTACACATCTGGCTTATTTGTATGCAGTCTCTTGGTTCATTACCTCTCAAACAGTTGCACCCCAATTTTAAAGGAAACATCGATCCTGTCAATGTTGACCAAGCTCGCCTTTAGAGACCTGTTTGTAGGATGACCACAGAGAGGTGGAGGCAGGTGTTGACCACAGAGAGGTGGAGGCAGGGGTTAACCACAGAGAGATGGTGGCAGGGGTTGACCACAGAGAGATGGAGGCAGGGGTTGACCACAGAGAGATGGAGGCAGGTGTTGACCACAGAGAGATGGAAGCAGGTGTTGACCACAGAGAGGTGGTGGCAGGTGTTGACCACAGAGAGGTGGTGGCAGGGGTTGACCACAGAGAGGTGGAGGCAGGTGTTGACCACAGAGAGGTGAAGGCAGGTGTTAACCAGTTTGAGCCCGGGTACTGGTGCAACACCATCTGCATCCCCATTCAGGTACAAGTGGAGTGGCTTGTGTCATTTGAGGCAGCACACTGATCCACGTACAATAAATATGGTTGCTTAGAAATCCCTTATCATTATCTTTTTCATTTGCTGCATAGGTTCCGCACCAGTCCAGACACCACGATGCTAAACAGCAGTCGCCGGAGCTACCTGTATGAGGATGACCACTCCAACACACCTGGACGGTCATCATCATACTCACAGGACCTCCTGTAGGTCTACCAGACGGAGGCCTAGTCCTGCCAGACAGAGGGTCTAGTCCTGCCAGACGGAGGGTCTAGTCCTTCCAGACAGAGGGTCTAGTCCTGATAGACGAAGGGTCTAGTCCTGCCAGACGGAGGGTCTAGTCCTTCCAGACGGAGGGTCTAGTCCTTCCAGACGAAGGCCCAACGACTGTTGTTCCTGGAATATTACATGTTGTTATTGCCAGCTTTAGAGGACACAGCATTACTGTGTTGATATGTTTACGGTTGACATGAGTGCGTTCATTACTGAACAATTTATCAAATGTTGACTAATTATCTGACCACACAGCCAAACACTGGACAATTTCTTAACTGTTTCATACTAAACATTTTATAAATCTTGAGCAGTTATCTGACCACACAGCCAAATACTGGACACTCTTTTTGCTTGTTCTGTACGGACTGAAAAATCTGTTGTTTTCTTCCATATTAAACCACTTATCAAATGTTGACCAATGAAGTGAAATACCATTGAGAAGTACAGAAGAGAAGATGGTGAAATAAAGGAAAAAAAAGACACGAAGAAAACAGAAGAAGTAATACGGAAGAAGAATAAAGATGGTGAAATTAAGATTAAGAGAGAAAAAAGATGAAGAGAAAGTGTGTGGGAAGACAAATTGAGAGGGGGGAAAAAAGAAGAAGAAAAAGTAACATAGGGGAAGTAATATCAGGAGGAGGGAACGAAAAAAAGGAATAATGATGGTGAGGAAGAAGATGTATTAAAAAAAAAGGTCCAGTAGATAAAAAACAAAAGCAACAGAAATAACAGTGGTGATCATCTGTGCCTCTGTTTGCAGAGAAGAGGTGGTTGTATTTATGGCTGATCAACTGTGTTTCTATTTGCAGAAAAGAGATGGTTGTATTTGTGGCTTATCATCTGTGTCTCTATTTGCAGAGAACAGATGGTTGTAGTTGTGGCTGATCATCTGTGTCTCTATTTGCAGAGAAGAGATGGTTGTATTTGCGGCTGATCATCTGTGTCAAGTCAGCTGCTGGGCGGCCATGATTTAGAAATACAGGGGAACCTCAGAGAACCGATTACTTTCCTTCCATGATGTAGCTAAAAGTAACTCTTATCCCGAGACTACTTCTCCCATTAAAATTAATGTCAGTCATTTTAATTCTTCAGCTCTTCAAAAATCACCCTGTTTGTTCCACAATTTTTTTTTTCATTTCTTAGACGGGAAAATGAATGGCACTGTTTTTTGTTTTGATTTTGCTGGCACCCTTAACCTGGGCTACTTCTGGCCATGATACTGTGGTCAGTCATCATCGTCATCATCAAGTGCCCTGTCATCAGGCTAAAACTCTCCTTTGGCAAAGTAACTTGACCTAATTCATTGAAAAGTTCCTGAGATGCTGTCAGATAACAAGTGCTTCCATCATGGGTTTCACGTCATATTCTGGGGCCAACAAAATGAGCAAGGCCGACCTTGTATCCAGGTACATTGGTAACCTGAGGTTCCGCGTACAGTTTTGTATCTTTGTATCGTGTTAGAATAACAAAGGTAGCAAGTGATGTAGTTACGTATGCAGTTATTTATTTTTTATGTCCACTCTACTTTTGCATCCAGTGGTGAGGCATGATCAATTCCTATGTGTAAGTGTTTAGCAGATATTAATCACACTGGGGAGGTGATATTTCCTCCTCGTCGCTGGGCTGTTGAAATTATGCGTGTGCAGCTAGCATCATAGTACTGGTAACTAGCAGCTTTCACACGTTAGAGTTTTTGTGTGACTGATGTAAGCATGAAGCAAGCTTTCTTTTCGCTGTATTCGAGACGTTAGCCGAGTGGTGTATATACAAAAAATAGTCAACAGTAATAATAAATAGTGAAATAATATTTTTTTTGGGTACTAGAAAGTGTAGCAGTGATTGCATCTGTTACATGCATGCTTGTTTTTTAAGTGTGTATGGATTCTATGTGTTGTTGAGCATGATTGTATCGTTTTAGGTTCTTCAGAAAACTTGTGATGACCGGCTAATGAGTGTTTGAGGGAATGAATTATCTCTGAGATTGTGAGTGATATATCATATATTTTAATATTTTTACACAACCTCAGTAAACTAAAGAGTTGGTGGTGGTGCGGGGTCTTAAGGGTGTGATGTTTGTTCTAGATTAGTGTTCTTCAACTGGTGGTCCGTGGAACCAGTGTTCTTTAAACTGTGGTCCATGGAACCAATGTTCTTCAACTGGTATTCCATGGAGCCATTTATTTTTTTAGAAGACTTTCTGAGCTATGTCAGAAATAAAAAGCAGATAAATTGAATGGAAGCTTTGCAGTGCTTCATGTATAAAAAACAATACTTCAGGCACATATATTAGATTTTCTGGCAGCAACAGATTTTGCATTAATTATAATTTTCTTGTTTAATTATAATTTTTAATTCTAGTTATAATTTTTAAAGGGAATTTAACTCTTCTGGCTACCAAGGAGTAGATCACATGTTGATCTATACCTAGTTTAACTGTCCTTAGTTAAGGGAGCTGACAAAGTCACTGCTGTCTACTTTTGTTTCTGTTTTTTTTTTGGTTAGCTCAGAGCAAAATAATTTCCTAATTTGCTGTTCTGCAGGTGCAGAAAAAAAAATAATAATTATAGAGCGCTGCTCTAGATCACACACTTTAAAAGAGTTAAAGGAGTTTAGAGGGGATAAAGACAAGAATGAGAGGAAGAGTTCCCCCATCAGCTACTCTCTTGGTAGTCCACAATGTTCTACTTTTATCCCATGTCATCCCCTGAGATGGTGACTTGGCACTCTATAGTCTCTAGAGGCAAATATCAGACACCAAGACAAGAGAAACCACGCGCTGGTTTTTGTTGCTGGGGCACGCAGGCTAAGTACCCCCTGTAATCACGTGACAACTACAGATCATCAGCGGATGGCAGTCATGACTTGTCTTTGATATCCTGTACTCAGTGACCTAGCCTAGCATGCCTGTATGTTTCTGTACACATTCCGTCCATTTGCAGTTCCTATTTGTTTGTGATAGATTTTATTTAATACTGCTTCCATTAAACCATTTCTTTTGCATTTTTATTATTTAGTCAGCGTTGTTTTCTCACCTGATTGTGACCACAGCAGCCATCAGACAGGCGTGGAGTCAGCAGCCATCAGACAGGCGTGGAGTCAGCGGCCATCAGACAGGCGTGGGGTCAGCGGCCATCAGACAGGCGTGGAGTCAGCGGCCATCAGACAGGCCTGGAGTCAGCAGCCATCAGACAGGCGTGGAGTCAGCGGCCATCAGACAGGCCTGGAGTAGTGTAAACATATTGATTACTGGGAGATGACGGGAAAGGGGGTTTTGGGGGCACACGCACAACAAACAGGCAAAAGGAGCCCCACCAACTATAGGATAAAGAAGACACACCCCACACCAAAGTGCCAGAACCTGGATGACTGAGACCCATTGAGCTCCACTAAATAATTTGAAATCTCTCTGAGCCTCCACCCAGTTGTTGTCCACTGGTGAGGAGAACCTGGTTGCAGGTATGGCTGAACCTCCCCATCTTGCCAGACTTAATTTCTTGGTAGCCGTGCACCTGCCCACAGCTATAAAGCAAGCAGATGTCCACTTACAATTATAAAGCAGGCTGGGGTCCACTTACAACTATAAAGCAAACAGGGATCCACTTACAGCTATAAAGCAAGCAGGGGTCCACTCACAACTATAAAGTGAGGGCTGTCCACTCACAACTATAAAGAAAGCAGGGGTCCACTCACAACTATAAAGTGAGGGCTGTCCACTCACAACTATAAAGCGAGCAGGGTCCACTCACAACTATAAAGTGAGGGCTGTCCACTCACAACTATAAAGTGAGGGCTGTCCACTCACAACTATAAAGTGAGGGCTGTCCACTCACAACTATAAAGCAAGCAGGGTCCACTCACAACTATAAAGTGAGGGCTGTCCACTCACAACTATAAAGCAAGCAGGGTCCACTCACAACTATAAAGCAAGCAGGGGTCCACTCACAACTATAAAGCAAGCAGGGGTCCACTCACAACTATAAAGCAAACAATTGTCACTCACAACTATAAAACAAACAAGGGTCCACTCACAACTATAAAGCAAACAGGGGTCCACTTACAACTATAAAACAAGCAGGGGTCCACTCACAACTATAAAGCAAGCAGGGGTCTACTCAACTATAAAGCAAGCAGGGGTCCACTCACAACTATAAAGCAAGCAGGGGTCCAGTTACAACTATAAAGCAAGCAGGGGTCTACTCACAACTATAAAGCAAGCAAGGGTCCACTCACAACTATAAAGCAAACCCGGGACATAACGCACGGCGTGGCAGGAGGTGTCTTTTTGTGTGTGCAGTCGAGTATGAGTGGCTTGGCCTCATTTTGTACATTTTGTTCAGTCTTTCTAGCTGGATTCTGCTGACATTGAGAAGGCCCATACCACAGAAAATAATGCTTAACACAAGACCTTGATAGGGATGGAAAAGTAGACGTTGTTGAATAGCAGCTGCTTCTAGCACCTTGAATGGCTGTAAGTAGGACATTGTCCACGTGATACTTGTATGACAAGCGTCTGTCAAATGTCACGCCCAAATATTTCATCATGTCTGTTCTCTCGATGTCCACACCACACATGCTTACTACTGGCGTTGGTGAACTGACAATGTGAGTATTCAGAGAGAACCATGTTAAGTAGGCCATTGACGAGTTCGCTTGTGCTCTCGATTCCTGGCACCACTCACTGAGTCTGCCCATGTTGTAGCATGGTGATAATTTCCTGCTTGTTTCTACCTCGACGGTACACAAGGATATCATCTGCATAGGACATTGTTCTGTCTAGGCCTACGCTTTGTGTACTGGTGACTCCTATTGTGTACGCGTTGAGGTTGCGATACCAATGAACCTTCGATCAGCACTGCTGCGATCCAGTTGATCCACCATATTGTTTCTCTGTGCATATCCAACAGCAATCTGATGAACATGTTGTAGGGGACGCT